TTGTTTATACATATGATTTACATCTTTCCCTTTTTCTGTTTCTACAACTGCGGCATCCCTTATATGTCTAATAGTATCTGTAAATAAGGTATTTTTATATTATGATTTTTAATTACAATATTTTATTGTTATGAGAATTAATAGAATTGAATTAATAATAGGCTAATAACTCTCATTATTATATGATTAATTTAAATAGTTTATAAATATAATAAAATACAAAAATAAAATTTGTGATCAACTTACTTTTACTTAATAATGGCTTAACAATAGTCGATTGAAAATTAACCTCTTTACTTTGGATTACTTGCAAATTAAAACATATTTGATTCACCAGTAATAAAATGAAATTTATTAAAATTTTTGAGACTAGCATTATAGTTTATTATACTTTATTATTTCATTTTATATATGAAAAAGTTTATATATCTTATACTTGATAGATATATCGTATAATGCTAGGTATAACGTATTTTAGATAAAATATTATATAAATAAATGTTATATTCTGTGCACAGTTTATTTTGGAGTAATAACAAACTTATGCAACTGTAAAAGTTGTGTTGAGTTTTGCTTAAATATTAGAAAATGTTTTTTCCTCATAAATATTTAAAGTGGACTAAAAGTAGTTTGAAATGTCATTTAAATATTTTATATTAAGTAATGCAAAACTTAATATACCAAATTTATTATCAAATTTGAAAAAGAATTCAGTCTAGTAACTTATATTTAACTAATAATTTATTAAATTTGTAGAAAAATATTGTTTAGCTAGTGATTTAAACATAATTATGAATGTAAACTGTTTTCTATCAATTATTTATATTGTATAATATTATCTCAAAATATTTGTTTGAACTTTGATTTGAAGCAAATTTGATTTAAACTAAATGTCAATTCTCTGACAGCTCTTACGACACAAGTATTTGGTATTTAAATTGTGAATGACATTAACTATTCTTGTATTTGTGTATAATCTATTGATGAATACTTAATTATAATTGCATTCTAACTTTACACTTATTCATTAGAAAATTATTAGATACTTAATCACAAGTCAATTCTCCATAGACGACAATTATTTTCTAATTTTTGTATTCTAATTTGGAGATCTAATATACAATTATTTTTATAACATTAATGTTATTTGCATTTAATTACTTTACATCTAATAAATTTTTAGCTAACTTATACAGTAAACTTACAAATGTGTTAAATTTCTAAACTGCACAATTTATTCATATAATCACAATTATATTTATTGTAAAAATTGAAACTATTTTAAAATAAAATGTACGGTATGTTAAAAACCTGTTTGTAAAAACATCAAGACATTAAAAATTTTATACTTGGAATCTTCACTTACCCTTCAATTTCGTAATTAATGCATTAATACATGACAGATACTGGAATTCACTGTAAATATTATTTACGATAAATATGTACTGTGAATATTATTAGCATTATGTAGTTTATAATCGAATTCAAAACTTGTTTGGCGACAAATTAATAAAATATAATTAAATATAAATTTGCTTTTATAAATACGAAAATAATATAATTATTAATTTTATAAATACTAATATTAAACATGAAATGTAAATATTATTTTGCAAGTGGTTTAATTAATTTCTATATATTGATTTTGTTTATAACAATTAAAGTGAACTGTAAACGCAATTATAAACATAATAAAGAGGAGCTAGAATTAGTCAAAGTGGTTGTTATTGATCAGGCAAAGTGTGCGAACAACGAGACCCTAATAATAATTCATTCAGCGGCACAGAGTTGGGGCAAATACTTCGATAGAAGACAACTGTCTAGAAATACTTGGGTAAAGGAGGCCAAGAGAAAGCATATGAGACCCCTATTCCTCATTGGGCTGACAACTAATGCCGAAACACAACAACAATTACAACTCGAAGCCAAACAACACAACGATATAATTCAGTTTGGATTCATTGATAACTACTATAACCTGACATTGAAAGCGTTGGCGGCGTTGCGTTGGATTACACGAAAGTGTTTGAACAGTGAATATATACTCAAATGTGATGACGACGTGTTGATTAATGTACCCCTTCTGGACACTATGTTCAATAAGAAAGAGTTTGCAAACGGTTTGACCGGCAAAATGATTACCACTAGAAGTAATCGATTTTTTGGACACAAATGGTTTATGCCTCAAAATGTTTATACAAATAGTTTTTATCAATTCTTGTATGGCTTTAGTTATATAATGTCCAATAATAGTGTTAAAAAGATGTTCAAAACATCGCTTAACTATTCGGGTCCTGTACTCGATATCGACGATCTCTTTATGACTGGAGTATTGGCCCAAAAAGCAAGAGTTCGTATCTTTCATAACACAAAGTTCGACTATTTCTGCGGATCTAATGTCTGTGTATTGAACCAAATGATTGCCATTCATGGATGCGATTCCGTTAACCAAACACTTTATGTATGGAATGAATGGAAACGAACCAAAGATAAACACTGTGTTCATCACAGAAATAACTTTGATTTCAATTTAGATTTATTTGATTTCAAACTATCTTTTAATTTAGATTTACCTGACTTTCAAAGTCGTCGTATCGAGACATCGACTAATTCTCAATCCAATTCATTAGTGGATAGAAATTAATATTGTTTAAAACAATTAATCAACATTTATAATATTAATACAATTTAGTCAATAAAGGGTAGAGTGAGTTTTCTTGATTTTAACAGTAAACCAATGCATTCAATTATTTTGATTTCTGGTTTTGATTTTAATTTTTAATCCAATAAATATTTACATTTTATTATTTACAATAAGAATGGAAGTGTTTATTATAATAATGTTTAAAAATAAATTATATGGATGTTTTAACATTAGCCCCTTTGTAATATAGATTTTGGTTGTTTCTCGTATGGATTGCAAATTATTATATCGTTTACAAATTTTTGTTTACATTCGTGATCACAATATCTGTTTAATAAACAATCACTATATCTATAGTAATGAGAATAGAAATGATGTAAAGAATTGATTTTTTCATTTATTATTTGATTAATTAATGCGTGGAAATCATTGGCAGTAAAGCTATTAAGAGAATATTGTCGACGCATTGAGTACTCGTAATACCAGAGAGGAGAGTGGGGTTCACCTCCTTTTTCATATTGATTTGCTTGAGTTAAATTAAAAAAGAAAGTNCCTCCTTTTTCATATTGATTTGCTTGAGTTAAATTAAAAAAGAAAGTATCGATGTCTTCAATAACTCCTATTAAATAAAAACGTTTTAATCAATTTTATACAAAAATACTTATATTGTTTCCAAATAATAAACACTTTCAAAGGAACTAGTACTGATTACTATTTTAAGTTGTCATTTGTTTCCTTTACTTTTAATGTTATTCAATAAAAATGTTACGTTATATTGCATTGTTTTATTTTTTTGAGCAAATCTCTTTACATGCCTTTACATTTCAAATATGCTTTACATTAAAAACGGACAAATATTTATAAACAACTCTCTATCAAAAAATCAATATCTATTTGTCGAAATAAAACTATATTTTTGGATATTAAATGCATTAAAATCTCATCATTAGGTTTTACGAATTTGAGTAACCGTTTTATAATAGTTTTTATGGAGTTTGATATAAAATTAAAAATATATTATAAATACCATTTTGAGTGACAGTTATAATACGATACGACGGGTTAAATGTTTGGAATGTGGTAACACTGGGAGACAATATTTCAAAGCCAATGGGTTTTGAGTAATTGTGGTTCGAGTAAAGAACTCGAAACTCGTCGGCGTGTGTGTGACCGAAGAACTGGGCGGTTATGGTGTGACTAAATCTCTCGACAATTGCCAAATAATTATAAACCCAGGCTTGAGTACACTCTCGGTTATCGACGGGCACGTGACCCACAATATGAACGTAATCTCCTTCTTGTTCAGCGATAACAAGTTCTTTGATAAGCCATTTGAGTTGATCCGCCGGATCTACTGAGTCATAGTATGTCCAGATGTTAAGTCGGGCGCAATAGTTAGTGTTCAATACGATTACTCGGAATCCACGATTGATAACAAGGGTATAATAGCCTCCACTAAATAACGCGATTAATTAAATGAATAATTTGTTTTAACGATATAAATGTTTATTAATAGTTGTTATGGTTTTTAATTACTTACTAACGAACTAATTGAAGAGCGTCTTCAGGTAACCATTGGGACCACTGTTGAGCTAACGCTTCGTAAAGCCATGAAATTGAATGTGAGTTTTGTATAGAAGGCGGAGGAAAACTAAGAAGTAATTCAGATTATTGGTACCATAATATTGATGACTAAATTCAATTAAAATGCTACCAATTTATAGGAACGGTCTCGTGATTGCCAATCGCTGGCACTATTTGGCTACCATTTCTGTAATGTTGAAGTAAATTTGTAATTATATGCGAATGTGCTATATTTCGATGTCGGTTATATTGCCAAATATCGTGAGCAACAATATCTCCGGTCCAATACCATATGTCGACGTTTTTACTATTCTTGGAAATATCTTTGAATGTATTTTGAAGAGTACGAAGCGGTAGATCGCAAGCATATGAACCCCAAATACCTGCGCTTGCATTAGTCGGCTGTGAATTAGAAGCTGATCTGTGATCAGAGACAGGGGTTCGGCAACAAATGGGTTCATTGCACTCAATATAACTTCCTGTTTGGTACTCGAGATCGAGGTGAATATCAGTCAAATGCAATATTTGTCGACTTTGTTGCTCATTATGAATAGATTTGTGATCGGATTTAAGTGTTTTGTTCACTTCTGGAATATCAAGTCTCCAGAATAAGTGCTCCGATCGGCCGATAAAACATTGAGTGCCTAACAATACACCGCAAACTTCGGTTGCTTTAAGTTTTGAGTTTTGACGTATAAAGTGAACCGTCTCTTTCATCTGCTCTATGAGTCCCACACAAACTCTTGGGGTCGAGAGTTGAAGTATAAGACACACCTCATGAAAGGCCAGAGCCATTGTCTCTTTACTGATCATACCATTGAGTATAAGAGTGGACAGTGAATGACAGCTAAGGCATGTGATAGCAGTGGACGCGCCCTCACGGACTGCCAATAATAACTTTTAATAATTACATTAATTAATTAAATCGTAACAAAACTTATTTATAGGTTATATGAATTGCTCTATGCAAGAGAAGCACATCTCTAAATCAATGAATTAAAAGAGATGTGTTATTCTTGCATAGAGCAATTTATATGTAGTCAATGTAGAATTCATCGCTAAGTTCGAATCTGGAATCGAAATTTTTTTATTTTGAATATTTTTCGAGTTATTCGACTTAGAAATGTTTTATATTGAAAATTTTAAAATGATTTAATTTACCAATATGATATATGGGTTTCATGTAGATTTTAACGCTGATTAATATTATCAAATCTGTTTTAAAATTAAATGTATAATTTTCGAACTATTCGACTTTAAAATGTTAAAATTTGAATAACTTTAAAAATATTTGATGTAGAAAATTGGAAATTAAAAATCCAAAATCAGCGTCAGATTCTACATCGAACTCATATATCATATTAATAAATTACGTCATTTTAAAATTTTTATTAAAAAACATTCTAAGCCGAATAACTCGAAAAATATTCGAAATAAAAAAATTTCGATTCCAGATTCAAACTTAGCGATGAATTCTACATTGACTACATATGAATTGCTCTATACAAGAGAAAAAAATCTCTTTTCATACATTCATTTCAATGCTTGTAATGATTCAGAGATGTGCTTCTCTTGCATAGAGAAATTCATATAATTTATATAATTAAATATTACAATACATTTTTGAAGCCCACAATATCCAATATTTTAAGTAAATTGTTGATTACAAATGAGAATCCATTTCTCTGTAAATAATTAATGTTATTTTGGATCTTATTTTGTTGGCCGTAAAAATCATTTATTTTAAAAATAATTCTTGATAACTTTTTAATACTGTTTAATTCAGAAAATGCTCTCGATTTGAGAGGAAAGTTTTGGAAAATTAAGTTTGAATAATATTTTGTTTTATTATTTTCAACTATTATTATATAACTGAACAAAATTAACATTAATATTAATTTGTGAAACATTTTCTCAAATTAAACGCCGACTAAATATAATACTTTTTTAATAGAATACATTTGTTACAATACAAATCATATTTACATTTTATTGTTTTTATAAATATAGATTACATTAAGTGGAATGCGGGTTAAAAGGCGTTCTTTTGTTATTTTTTAACAATAGTTATCAACTATTAATTCAAATAATGTTTACCAAAATTACAAAACGTATTATATCTTAAATCAAATAATTTTCTGAAACATATTAATAATTTTAAAAACATTCAAATAATAATTTCAAATCACGTTTAATTAACACAATAAGCCGAGTTTAATTTTGTATTACTGTATATCATATAAATTATATCTAAACAAATGTGCTCTAAAAGCGCACAACTTTTTAAATGTTGTTAGAAATAAAATGACAAATTTGATTTGTAAATAAATTTATTATAATTGGTTAATTAATCCCATAAATAAAATGATGCCGGTATTCTTATTTCTGACAAAGTAAATGAACGGACGGTTCACTTTGAAGTCGATTGAGTCGAGTGAAAGAGACGAGAAAAGCATGAGTTCAGCCCCTGTGGCGGCCGAGGCTTCGGTGCCCTCTTCGCTCACTTCGATCACTGATTTATGAATGAACTGAAATGATATGATTGTAATGTTTACACAATCATTGAGTAGTGATATGTTATAAGTTTTCACNGCATGAGTTCAGCCCCTGTGGCGGCCGAGGCTTCGGTGCCCTCTTCGCTCACTTCGATCACTGATTTATGAATGAACTGAAATGATATGATTGTAATGTTTACACAATCATTGAGTAGTGATATGTTGTAAGTTCTAACCTCAGATACATAGACCCCTTTGTTTCCATTGATTGTGAAGAAGTCGGCATTTGAAGTGAATGTTCGCTTTAGACCTAATTCTTGCAATTCTTGTTTCAATGCAAAACTCGAGTCAGTCTTGAATTTAGGTAACCATAGGTCGCACTCTTGTTGTTTCGCTGATTTTATTTGTTTGTTTAATGAATCGATTGACACTTTTTCCAGTATTTTTTTCATATCCTTCTTATCACCAGTTTTTGGCAAAAGAATATAAAAATCCAATAACTTATCGAAATATGGAATGCCTAACAACTCGTAATTCAACTCAGATTCCGATATATTCATGTAATCATACTTTTGTTTCTATTATAATATACAAAATATTAATAAATACATAAAATGTATCTTTTTATTTTAAAAATTCGTATAAATGGAAGTGTTATAAATAGAAGTGTAATCGTTTTTAGTGCAACAAGTATTGTATTTAGATATGTTTGTAAAACCACAAATATACTTTCGAGTAACTGTAGTGTCATTGCTTATTAGTAATAAGTTATTACAATTTTATCATTTATATTGTAAGGCAAGAAAAGAAGTTCAAATTCATTAATTAAATGGCAGAAGAGATTAATGTTGTTTAAAAATGCTATACTGTACAGTATACTAGCAAAAAGATCTTTTATTTTCAAACTAAGTGAGCTAATTTAGATGGAATTATATGAATATTTTTATATTTTTTAAATATTTTAAAAATATTTTCTACTCTAAACAATTAGCAAAATTAGATAAAATATCATCATGATCAAAAGATACAAGTCTTTTTGTTCAAATTTATTGCAACATTTATCGGCTTTATTTAAATATATTATTAAATAAATATTAATGATTTAATATTTGAATTGTAAAATAAATGATTTACCTCAATCTTCATGGTGGGAATGAGCACAGTTCGAGTGCCAAAATTTTGGAAGGATTCTAGTTTAGTTTCCTTTGGTTCAAAAGGTGTGAGCCATTGGCCTTTAAAATGGACCGCATTTATAAGTAACAAAATAGTGTTTGCATCCAATGTGTCTACCAATTTGGAAATGTGTCCATTTGTTTTGTCGCTAATATAATTGTTAATTGTTTTGACCGTTTCTTTTGATGTGAAATCCAAGGAATCGATGTTTGCGTTATAAGTGTTTGTCATTAAATGCCTAAATTTTTGCGAGATTTGAAAGCCTTCGCTAAGGTATAGACCATTTGCTATCAAAATATTCTGTTGATTCGTTTTGTTCAAAATGTTTGACCAAATAGTTCTCACATCATTCACATCTATGTTCTCGTATTTCATGTATTTAGTCAGTTCTTGTCGAGTCTGTCCTTTACTGGCTTCGTATAACATGGTAAGTATTGATGATATGCTTATAGGTGATAGAATTATATTCTTATTGTTGGCATCGCTTTTAAATATCTGGCCTAACAATGAGAACCCTATTGAATTGGTACTCAATATTGAACAATGTATTTGAATACCAATTCCTGTTAGCATTAACGCACCACATATTGATACTAAATAAGACATTCTTCAGTCAATTAATGATTTAGAAAATACTTTAAATAGAACTTAATTAATAAACATGTTTTCTATTTCAATAATACAACATGAATGGCGCACTAAATTAATTTCATGTTATATACAGCTGTTTTGATATTTCAAAATAATTAAATAAATTTATAAACCAACACTAAATTAAGGAAAAACTTTATTATAATTGGAATCATTTAATTGTACAGTTACATGATATTACAAAACAGTGAATATAATGTTATTTGTCAAATTAACCAAAAAGCAATTTTTAAAAAATATTATTTATGTAACATTTATTATGTGTAACATTTTCCTTCTGATCAATAATCGCTAATCATTATAAATATTAATATTAATAAAGGATTAATATTTATTTTGATTGAAATGCTGTCCAAAAAGTTTAGGATATGTATTATGAAAGCGTGGTCTCTGTGTCTCATAGAGAGCGACCAAGTCTTGAGCAAATGGTGTCCTCTTGTTTTGATCGCTAGCAATGGTTTGTGATATAAAATTGTTTTTTAAATGAAAGGAAGGTTTAGTTTGAAGTGATGTGTGATGTGATCGAACCGGTGATGATATTTGTGATAATTGCTGTCTGTTATGACTTTTAATAAATGATTTAGTATTGGGATAGTGGGCGTTGTGATGGATGAACACATTTTTATTAACGTGGGAACCGGTAGTGGTGTGGGCGACAGGTTTGGACAAAGTGAATGAATGAATGGCCCGACCAGTGGGTGGACCAGTGGTTGTGCCCACAGTTATATCGAAGTATTCTTCGTCTTCAAGAGCCGATGGATTATTATTTAGTGAATTAAAATGATTTGTTGCCATTATATTAGTGTGTGTTTTGGATAAGTGATCGCTTTTAGGCGAAGCAAATGAATATATGTTTT